CCTCCTTCACAATCCCTCTTCAGAGACTACTCTCATGAGGAGCTCCTTCTCCAGGAGGTTCATTTTCTCTTTAGAGTAGGAGCCATAAATTAGGTTCCGCAGTTTTATTCCTGTTATTTCCTAATCGTGAAAACAAAGAGGTCTCACACCAACAAATTTTACATGGTCCCCCTAGCTTCCATCATTCCCTCCCTGGAGAGTGGTATACCGCCCTCGACGTAAAAAACACCTACTTTCATGAGACAATTTATCAATGTCACAGAAAATGTCACTTTCGTAGTGAAGCACTCTTAATACCAGTTCACTGAGCTGCCTTTCAGCCTGTCAGCAACTCCTCGGGTTTTCATAAAATGTATGATGGGGTGCCTATGTACTAGGAGTAAAAGTCTACTCTTACATGGACAATTGGCTAGTCAGAAGTGAGTCCGGGGCTCAGATACTGTCCGGTATATATCTCATCCAGTCAACTTTCAAAGCTCTGGGTGTGCTGATCAACATAAAGAAATCTATCCTTTCTCCAATTCAGAGGATGGAGTTTATAGGAGCAGTTCTGGATTCTGCTCAAGCCAGGGCTTTCCTTCTGGACACAAGGTTCCAAACAATTTGATCTCTTGTTGCAGATCTCAAGGCTCATCCAGTCACAACAGTGTAAAACTGTATAAGGTTCCTGGGGCGTATGGCCTCATGCACATACATAGTCCAGCATGCCAGGTTACATCTCAGGACTGTGGCATGTAACCTGTGATTTGAAGCTGCTTGATTTGAAGATAACCGGAGGATAGCTAATATGACACCAATTTTTTAAAAAGACTCGAGAGCTAAGTTCCCTCTAAGCTGTGTGGTTGTGAAGCAGCCTACGAAGCGCCGTGCAGGCTCTCAGGGCTGCGGCTGGGAGAGATGCCTCTTCCCCCAGCCCCGGACCGGCTGCGGTGGCCAAGCCCAGCCTGGCGCTCCACTTCACTTGCGCTGTGGCTCAGCGGCCACAGCGCTGGCTCCTCTCCAGACCCTTCCCTGCGCTCCTATGGGCCCTCCAGTTCCAGGGCTTCTCTCCGCTCCACCCCTTCACTCATCTCAGCCGACCAACTGAGGGCTCCTCTCTCTGCACCTGCCGGCTACCTGTGGGGATGGAGGAGGTAGAAAGGAGTCCAGATTTGCTATCGCTCCTCCGGGCTGCCGGTGAGGGATGGTCCGCTGCTTTGTGCTCCCCTGGGGTCCAGAGCCCGAAGCGGCCGACTGTCACTGGCGGCCTGGACTGTGGATGGACCTGCCACAGCCCGGGGAGAGGCGACCCTCCCCCACACCTGCCACGGACCAGGGGAGAGAGGCAACCCTCGCCTGGCCCCAGCCCCCAGACCTATAGAGGATGGGGAAGAGGTGCCCCAGCCCACCCCTGGACCTGCCACAGCTGGGGGAGAGGCACCTATCCCGTGGCCCCAACCCTGGAGCTGCCACAGTGGGGAGAAGCGCCTCTCCCCTGAAGACCCGGTGCTGCTGTGGGAAGAGAGAGCTGGGTGGAGTCCTCTCTCTTCCCGCCATAGCCCCAGCCCCTCTCTCCCCAGATGCATAG